GGGGGGGTAGAGAGGGAGGAAAGGGACAGAGGAGAGGGGAGGTAGGGAGGAGAAGGGGACAGGAAGAGGGGGGAGGCAGAGGAGAGGAGAATGGGAGAGAGATGAGAGGAAGCGTTGATGAGAGGGGGAAGGAGGCAGGAAGGTAAAGGGGAAGAGAAAAGAGAAAGCTCTGAGAAGAGGGGAAGAAGGAGAGAAAGAGGACAGTGGATAGGAGAGACTGGGAGCATTTTGTCGTAAGACGTCGCCTTGCTCCCAGACTGACCTTGGTTTGTCTTAGCAAGAGTTTTATGGCACTTTCAACACACTTAGGTCACATGAGAGCCACAGATTAGAGCTCGTATATGAGAGTAAAAAAGCATAAAAATAAGGATAGATAAGGACGATAGGTGTTTGACATGAAAAAAGGAGCAAATGACACTAAAGCACCCGCCAACCACCCACAGACTTGACCTGACGGTTGTCATTGATTGGTACTGCCTCATACCACCATACACATATTATATAGTCTAAATTGTCTAGATAGCTATCCGTCGTCGAGGAGAAAAGTGGCTGTTGTATTTATCTTTTCAATTTTAGTAAAAGTTTCACGGTACTTGCAACACAATTATGTTATATGAGTGCTGAAGATTAGAGGTATTACAAGAGAGTAACAAACACAAAATAGAAAGAGGAGAGATAAGGACGATATATGTTTGATAAGAAAGAAGGAGCAAACAACACCAGAGCACCCGCCAACCGCCCACTTAGAGGTGTTACTAGAGAGAGTAACATACACAAAAAAAAGAAGGTCGATAGATGTTTGTTAGGAAAGAAACAGTAAACCACCACCCCAGAGCACGCGCCAACCACCCACTGGTTGTCTTACACAGGTGGACGTCTTACACACTGCCATTATAATGTAAAAAAATATATACAAGGGAGGAAAAGAGAACTGGCCATTTGTACAGGTCATTGTCTTGTACAGGTGGCCGTTCGGGAAGGTTTGACTATTTTTCTTGGTCTAGCCAACAGAGTAAAGAGACATGAATACCAAAGATCTTTCTTAAATTTGCGGGCACTGGTAAAATTCAAGCGGATTTTGGTTTTTACAAAAATGTATGCCACACAAGGAAGAGACAGGCAACAACACACGTCAAATTGATGGAGCGGACAAAAAACAATAATTAAATCGAAAACAAAACAAAACAAAAAACACTATAATTGCAGATATTTACACATCCCTTGACACAATGTAGACCAATTAAAAGGCGGGCTGCTTCTCCTCTGCCTGTCAGGGCAAACACAGGCTGATAAAGATACAACATCCAAGATGACAGACAAAGATACTCGATAATATAAACCTCCCCACATAGGAGCTGAACTCGCGTCTTCCACGCGGACCATGAGAACTGCCATACGATTAGGCCTACATCGCAAGTGTCGGTGTGGTACAGCAAAATGCAATGACATTATAAATTATTAAGCTTCTAAACAACAAAACCAAGGGTTGTCAGCAAGTTCTAAAAAAGGACTCGAAGTTACTTTCAAGAAGACAAAAATTGACTCACAAAACTTCAAAAGTAGGGTTATGAAAGGACAAAATTTGCATCAAAGTCAAGCTGGTGGGACATCATTTTCTCTTACTCTTATGAAAGAAAAACATACACAAAAATGAAGACAGAGGTTCAGTTGTAACTTCTTTGGAGAAAACGATTTGGACAATACAGCTGAGCAACTAGCGGCGGCGGGTATACTATCACTATAATTTATAATACGTTTGAGTGGGTGGGTGAAGTCTCGCGAGCTGGCGAGAGTGTGTGGTAAAAAGATATCACACGTGATACAACGAATCAGACGGGCGAAACTACACACGCCCCCAAAACAACATAAACATAGATCTAGTTAACAGACTAAAATCTGAAGAGGGCACTTGTGGCGAAATGTTATCCAGCTCCCTATTCAACAAAACAGTCGGTACAGCAGTTTCTTCCCCAAAGCTATTGATTTAACTAACACGTAAATGTGGACAGGAACATCAATACCAGCGACTGCCCCTGTACTTATTTACAGGAAGCAAGGAAATAACTTCGAGATTCGAGGGTAAAACGAACAAAGCGACAGTGAAATATCGAGTGATTTCAGCTTGCTATTACCTTCTTTGTGCTAGACTTGAAGTGAAGTAGACATTAACAGTTCAGCCACAAAGAAACGTCTGATGGATTTTCTCGTCTTCGAGAAGCAGGAAGCATTTGCTCAGGGGAAAACAATGACGTCAACTCAACACTTTGTTCCTACAATAGAAATCACACTAAGGCTCGAGGAAATTTCCGATTCTCAAATCGGTTTGCACCGGGACCTTTACTTTACGGAATGTTACGTTACAACGTTTACTCCTCTTAATCCTGGGGGGGGTTGGAGCGTATTGTAGGGATTCTTATGTCCCTTTTAAGAATTATAAATTATCCTAATGGCGGTTTTACATACAATTCCGATAGGACCAAGCTAAATTGTTGGAGAGCCTTAAAAACTCTCTTGACTACTGAAGTTCCAAAGGTTCCATTTTAAAGATTTGAACCAATGTCATCTGTACCACAACCCAGAATGATACAAACTGAGCTACAGTTTGCGAGTTTGGGTTTCCTTGTTGTCATCCTAAAGAGAATATGAAGTCTTTGTTTTAGTAAGGGTTTCCGGTGCTCGCAGCTGCATAAAGTCATCTCATATGAGCGCCCAGGGGTGGATGTCAACAGTGAAGTCCAAACGGGGAATCAGGCTCAGTTCTTTAGCCTCAACAGCACAAAGTCTGCTTCGACTATCAAGGCACCCCAGAAATAGCAGTTCACAAGAGAGTGACGAATATACAAAAAAGTAGCGGAAAAATGACGATGAGGAAAGGAAAAGCAGCAGTTCCCCCTATGTTGTTCCGGCACAGTATGAGCATGACATTGATAAATCAGCCCATTTACTATTTTACTGTACTTAAGAACACGTTAATATCTCCCCCTTCGGGAATGAATTTGAAGTCTTGTCAAAGGAACATTGCACAAATGTATTACACTTTTGTTTGAGTAAAGAGACACAATAAAGGCCATATAGTGTTTTACGGCACTTGCAACACGGTTAGGTCACATAAGTGCCGAAGATTAGAGTTGTTACAAGAGAGTGAGAAACACAAAAAAGGAGGACAGATACGAACGATAGAAATTTGATAGGAAAGAAGGAGCAAACCACACCAATCTGTTAACCACCCACTGCCATTTAGTGCTGGAAATAAGAAAACGGACAGACAAAAACTACAGAGGGGATGTAATAATAATAATTATTACTAATATTAACATTTGTAGAGCGCATATCCCCGCTCGACAGCAAGCTATATGCGCTTTACACTACATTATTACCCCAGCAGACCATAGAAGACTCAGAAACATTTTCATCTTCTCGGATAGTTAAGAAGTAGGATGAACAGTGGCGTCTCCAATAACCAACAGTATTAAAAAACGACTATTGTTAGAATTAGTGACGTCATTTTTGTAATCGAAACCTCTTAAAGTGATAAGAGTAGAAAACATGAAATAACTATGATGATTGCAAGCTTTCTTTTCTCTTCCAACAAAAGAAGGGGGAAAGTTGAGTTCTGATGTAGCCTAGAGAAAAAAAAAGTATTTATAAAAAAAACTAAAAAACAGCGGAAAATTTGTCAAAACAGTTTAAAGTTGAGGACCAGAAAAAAGGAGCCAGATGAGATTCCCTGTGATGGTTATTGATTTTCTCACAGATCCGCCAAAAGGCAAGTCGGAAGCCGTCCAGGAAAACGGATTAAAGCATCGCGATTTGATGGGCTCACGTCGAGGTTCATACATCACGCGTAAACTCTTTTGAAAAGCCCTCCAGTCCTGCTACTGTTGCTGCTAATGTCAATGCTGCTGCTAATGCTGGTGATGCAGCTGCTGCTGCTAATACTGGTGCTGCAGCTGCTGCTGCTGCTGAGGATGACGATGATGATGATGATGATGATGATGATGATGATGATGATGATGATGATGATGATGATGATGAGGATGATGATGATGAAGCCTACGTGGTAAAACGTTGAGTCGTTTCAATAAAACACATTTTTAACATTTTATATACATATATTTTTTTGTCGGTAAATGAAGCAACACTTTCCCTCATACTCTGCTTTTTGATGATGATGATGATGATGATGATGATGATGATGATGATGATGATGATGATGATGATGATGATGATGATGATGACCTCATGCGGAGAATCGAACCCAAATCCCATGTGTACAATGGCGAAGATGTTAAAAAATTACATCATAGATTCCGGTGTTCAGGCAAGGACAACAGTAATCATAAAAGTGTAAGACACTGTCCCTTAAATTCTTATTTTTAAATGGACCCCACCCCAAAAAGAAGTAGGAAAAACAGAAACGGGCTAAAGGTGTATAAGCTGAGAAGAGAAACCCGAGTAACTATTGTTGAAGAAAGTTGGGGGAGGGGGTGAGATCACAGGAAAAGAAAAACATAATGCGAGCAGAAATAGAGAGAGGCAAAAGCAAAAGAATAAAGAGAGATGAAAACAGAAAGGCCGTATTGGGAAAAAAATGGCGAGGACACGAAGCAAAGAAATGTGTACCCGCAACATAGAGGCAGAAAGACAAGGGCAACGGAATGAAGAAAAACAAATCCAAATGTGGGTGTCTTACGCCCCAATCGACACACTTTGGATTATTTAAGAGGTGGACTTCAACTTTGACTGTCAAGGCCAACCTGGGCTGAACAGGGAGGGATAAAATGTCCCTCCCAGAAGATAGACCGAGATACTCAATAAAAATTCTCGCTGCATAGGAATCGAACTCAGGACTTCAGCAAGCGACGGCGAGGCATCTAATACGGACACCACAGACGTAGGTAAAGAAACTCAACCACGAAGAGGAAAAAACCCCAGAACATCAGACACAATAGTAAAACACACGCAAAACTAAGAACATTCTTTGCACATTTATTGCTATAATAAATTCATTACACATTCACATCAGACAATTGTCATGTCGAGAGCCGGGTAGTACTTAGCGCATGAGTTCAGCCTATATCACAGGTGCGATTAATTTCCCCGCGCATGTGTTGAATTATTTTCAGAAGCAAGTGAGCCACACTAACTTGTCCGTTCAAAATTTGTCTGGTGAAAGAAAAAAAAGAAAAGTACATGATCGATTCATCAGAAATGGGACAGGCAACACAAGTGACAGAAATATTGTCTGGGTAAAGAAAAGCACATTATAACTGATAAAGCAATGTCTATACTTTAGCTTCCCGTACAGAGCGAAGAGTGCCCCCCCCCCTTTTTTTCGCAGTTGTCTATCCGTTCTTTGTAGGGAAAACATTACAGTATATGAAAATATTATGAGCCTATTACAAACCAGACAAGCGTCTGTTATATTATAGCGGTTAGGAGCGTCGTTGTCGCACGCTGGAGACTTGAGTTCGGTTCCGGTCAGTGTTGAGAGAAGTTTAATCAAGTAGGAATATCTCAGTCTTTCTATTATCACGTTGTGTCCCTCTAAAACCCGTGTTGGTCCTGAAAGGCAGTGTCGAAACTAGCCCCCTAAATTATCACTATTTTAAAGTGTGTCGATTTAATTAATTTTTTTTAAAAATATTTTTTAAATTTTTTTTTTTTGGGGGGGGGCATAAAACACCTGCGTTAAAGAAAAAAACCCACATGGTAAAGAACGAAGACGATACACCGAACAAAGAGCTAAATGAGAACATAAGAGAGGAGAAAATTAAGACAAATTCAGGACATCTTCTAAAGAACCGAATATTCATTTTGCACAAGTGAGCATTGAAAGTAACGACGACAATGATCCATTTTTGTACAGACAGACGACGAATTCATTCGTTCCCTTTGAGTTAACAAGCATTTAAAGAAATGAACTGCAGACGTCAATAAAATGAAACTGATCAGATTGCCAAAGCCTAATCAACCACCAAGCAATGCCGAGAGGAAATGAGATGGAGATAAAAGAGATGCTGTCCAAATAATAATATTACAAGACACGAGTCTTTTCAGCTGTTTTCCCTCGATAGACGGTGAGGTGAGAATACAAGATTTTCCAACAAAGAAAGACATTGATTTTTAGGGGATTACTTCCGTGGGGGTTTTCCCCCAACAGGATGGATTCAAAAACTTCCAATACCTGAGGCACGTCCATAATTCCTCATTACAGCTCTCTTTACCACATGGCACCCTCCCTGCAGGGCTAGTGACACACGCGCACGCGCACACACACACACACACACACACACACACGTGAACAAACTAGATTGCAAGCATGCATATATGCACACAAACACTCACGAATGCATATTACAAATGTCAATACCGCATAGCACCCCCTCTCTAATGACAAACACACGCACAAACAGAAACATACACATGAAA